AATGAAACGTAGAAATGTGATAAATATCTTGCGGAATTTAAAAAAAAATAATAATCTTTAAGAGAACTACTTTAGAAGAAGCAGCCCCTATGGTCCAGACTGGCCTTGTTAAACAACTCTGTTGCAGCTTTTACGTGGTATAAGCACAACCACATTTGCGGGGGGGAAGAAAAAAAGAAAAAAAAAAAAAGGCATGAAAATTAAAGAGACCATTAAAATCCTCAGTCAAGGCCATTTGGAAATTCTATTTCTGAAACCACAAAACAAAAACAAGTACTTGTCTAGGTAACCAGATTTCTCAACTGACATTTTTATAGTTATAATTCCATTCACAAGATGTATTAATCATACCTGCTTCCACTGATACAGCTATTAAAGGAGAGGAAAAACCTCAGCAGTTACCATAACAAAGACACTTCCTTCAATGTTTTTTCCATTCAAGTCATACATAATACAATGAAGTGGGTTTTTTTTTTTTCCTTAGTCTACACACAACATTCAGGTCTCACATTACCATCCTTCTTTTTGAGACTTCATGCATATAACAGCTTCTGCTTCATAACTATGTCTAACAAGCAAGTTGCAAGAAGGAAGTTCTATCTCCCTGAGATAGAAGAAAAACAGTTTTTCCCTACTCTCCAAGTAGGAAAAAACAGAAACCTGAGAAAATGGACTAGAAAAGATTTATTAGAGACAGAAGAAGAATAAACTGATTTTTGCTACCTGCCATTGCCAGTCTGCATGAGATATTATCAAATTGCCCTATAAATTAACTAACTCCTTTTCTTAAGTTTTTAAATTGAGCAAATACTAGAACTAACACAACTTTTGCTGGCATAATTAAATCACTGTTGTCCCTTGTCCAGAAAAGCCTCACAGTGCCAAAAAAAAAAAAAAGTCCCCAACCAAATTAAACCCACTCCCCATAAGGCATTTATCCAGGAATGCTAACAACCAAAACACAGCTACTTCTATCAACTGCTTAACAGCTCAGCATTCAATATGCTCTTGTCATGTACACACCCATGAACAAAACACCAAGTGGATAAAAAAGAAAAAAACTGTGGGCAAAATGAGTCAATCCAAACTAGAACCTGACCAAACCCCCTTTCTTTGAAACGATACATCATTCAGAAAAAGATCACACTAGATTTAGATATTACACTGATGTCTACAGCATAATAGTACAGATCAGCAATTATGTTTGCTAAGAATGTAAAGAAAACCTTGGAACCAAGTGGGAGACAATAAAGCTTGCACTCCTTAGGACTGTATCAGTGCAGGCAGAAAAATCTACAATTACTCTTGCAAACAAAAACTCGTGGGAATTTACAATTAAAAAAAAAAAAAAAACCACAACCAACAAACAAACCAAACCCACACCTACTCACAGAACATACTTATTTTAATCCCCTTTTTCCCAGGTCACAACAGTTGAGGCTGTTTTAGACAGACAAGAGTCAGCTCTGCCTGGATAGCCCAGAGATTTCTCTTTATAGCTCTGCTCCCCACTGCATTTAGATGGGGAAGAAAACAGCTATGACTCAAAGCTGTACCTTAAGAGGAAGCTGGCTATTACATCCCTCATGGCTCACCATTCTAGGAGATTGAAGATTTTTTTCAAGAGACCATTTCCCCTGGGCTACATGAAATTTTATTTTAAAAAAAAATTAAAAAAAAAAATCCATGTAGTCTTGTGTACCCCTTCCCGTAAAGGCAGATCCTCTAGCTATCTGTCTCAAGGACATCTGCAAACAGTTGCATGGTTTCAGCTAGGGAGAAGGGTTTTGTACCATAGGGATGCATTTTTCTTACAGAAAGAAAAATCACAATTATTTCAGACTTTCTGGTACTGGAAAACCAAAATTCCTGGCTCTGATAAATCAAAGCTTGGGCAGTGCTCAAATTCTCTTGTAATAAACTAATTTCAATTTATTTAATGTTTCTGTACTAAGAACACTATTGTGTTCAAAAGGCCTTTCTCCTGTGCTACACCAAATCTGAACTGGAATCAGATTGCGATGGAAATTATACTGATATCCAAAGTTCAGAGCTATGTTTTTACTAGAGAAGTAAGCTCTTCCTATTACCAGCCTTGTCAAATCCAACTGTGACATAGCCCTCAAGGAAGACAATTAAGACAGGACACTTCTTCAGTTGAATTTGTACATTCTTCACAACCTCTCTGAAACAGCATCAAATTGTAGGAAAAGGCATTAAAACCAAAAATACATGTATGCTACAAGACAGAAGGTCTCTTTTGATCTTATAGTCAAGAAGTGGTTTGAAAAGAGCAGTGAACCAAAAGTCTAGTGCAACTGAGAAGTGAAGTAGTAAAATCAGATCAGAGGACAAGTTCCAGTACTCACATGAACCATAACTGTGTTTCCTTAGGTATGTGACTGACAGCCACATCACAGACCTTTCAGAAAAAATCAACAGCTAGTTTGCATGCTCGCACTGTGCAATTTTAGGTGATAATATTTTCAGGAAAACAGATGGATCTCTCTACACAAAGAATAAAATGTGAAGAAACTCAAATGGACAGCTTTTCCATCCATTGGCACTGAAGGAGATAGTGTGTGATCCACTTGGTAACTCTTTGCAGATTGTTTGGCCTTTGGATGAACCAAAAGTGGTCACAAAATGCAGGAAGCAGTTTTCTCTCTCCCATCAAAATGTATCCTCAGGAAACAGATCAGTAACAGATTTCAGTGAAAACCCTAAGATTGACCCTAAGAAGTTCAACACAATGATTATAAACTGACCTCTTAGCCTGGTATCCAGAATGTGAGTGCCATTATACAAGCATAGGCAGTTTCACCAGGACTGTTAGGCAGCACAGCTCCTAATATGCATTAGTGACACTGCTCCAGAACTTTGGCAATTACAAATTCAGATCCCAGTCAAATTTTGGTTTTCTTCTGTGAAGAGTAAGGATGAATAGTTCCAGTCATTTTCACTTTTTTTCTACCCTTACAGAGGAGCACTAGTAAGCACAGGACCTACATGCACAAATATAACTTGATGGACAAGACAAAAGAAAGTTTTCTTCTCATTCATAGCACAAGTGCATTTACTCCGGATACCAGTGCTGACATACATTCAGAGACATGTCACTGATAAAATGAGACCCACAACTGATCTAAAACCTTAGAGGGCCATATTGATGCTTTAAAGATGAAAAAAATAAACTGAAGTAAGACTTAATATGATGTATTTTCCTTTATAGTCTAAACTAATATGCATATCCTAGCATATATCCTATCTATCACTTTAATCCTCTGACAATACTGCTTGAACAGAGACCCAGGCTCTAGCAGTCCCCTCTCACTAAGTGAGAGGTACTGTTTCTCTGACAAACTCCAGTGGTACACTGACTTTTCCTTCAAATCTTTGTTAGTTTCAGGGAGGTCTCTCACAAAGTTTTCAATGCACATCTCAGAACAATTCAGAACTGCATTTATTGGTTTAAGTTATAATTTTTGCAGTAGCCACTTGACAACAGATTCTTTTCATTTCTGCAGACCTGCCTCTGCTCATTTTCAAATAAGTTATTTCCTTCACCACAAGATACATATTGGTTCTAATTTACTGCCTGTACTTCTTAAATGTTCTTGTTCACCAACAAAGTTGCTCATTCTCACTTTGAAGTACAGAAATGTGTGTTGCTAAGTCTGTCAAAATTAACATTATACCAAACACTGAGAATGAAAGAATAATGTCATAAACTTTTCTTTTTTCCTAGTCATAGTTTAAATGAGCCAGGTTTTGTGCAGTTGACTTTTCTGAAGCAGAATACTTTTCCCTGGAACAGATCAAATGGAGTTTTCCAGAATGACTAAACACACACCAAGAGCATTTGGGTTTAGATCCCGTTATTAACAAAGCACACACACAAGTATTTATTTTAAAAAAGAGTAAACATTAATCAAATGTTTTAAAAGTATTAGCAAAGAAATTACTACAGAATACATAAATGTAGAACAGACAAGGATTCCTCCTATCAAATTTCTAACTACAGTTAATATCAGATACTATTGGGAAGATAAAGATAAGAGGATTTCACTGGACAGACATCCACCCAAGAACCTTCAACTTTTACTAAACTTTAGCACTTAAGATGTATTTTCAAAGTGAAACATACTTCAATTCTTCCAGACCTGCAGCAGACCATGTGGGCCCAGAAGGCAGGCCATTTCCTTTTTAAAATGGCTGCAGGAACTGACAGGCAATACCTCCTACAAAAATCTCAGTGGGATTTTCAAAAGATTCAAGAAGGTTATCCTGTGTGTTTCAAGTAATTTAAGAAAGCCAGAAGAAAATGAGACTGAAAAAAAAAAAAAAAATAGACACACACACCCCCCAAACAGTATCAGAGTGAAGACTGGTCAAATATGAATTCAGTTTAAATGAAGAAGTTTCAGTGATTTAGTAATGGTATGATTCCATCTGTCCCCAGGTCCACACACACACTTCCCCCAGTAAAGCCAATTAAGCAGGAACTAAGCCTTCCTTCCTACCACATCAGTAAGGCAATGCTGCTGCTACTTCCAACAAAGCTCCCAAATACTCTGCTTGTAGACTGTAGTGGACAACAAACAATTAGATCATTCCTGAATTAAAGCAATACCCAGAAGCAATTTTGCATAAGCAATTTTGTTTTTTCCAGAGAACAATGGAAAGTTGGCACATACTGCATTTATCAGAATTGTGATCTGCATTAAGCATGGGTTTATTTTAAAAAAATCTTCAGCTCTCACCTATAGGCTATTCCGGAACGCTGTGAATCAGCCAATAGTTACTGTTTATTGAAAAGCTTCCTTCTTTAAGCCAACTTTACTTCCTCTCAGTACTTTGCAGAAAGTGTGGAAAGAACTACATCATCAGCCTTTGCGACAGGCAACTGTCTACAACTGTCCAGAATCTAGAACATGAAGCATTCAGGATGCAGAATTAAACTTTGATATAGATATATATATAGATATATATATATATATAGACCTCTAATAAATTAAATATTCTACAGACAAAAGAAAATTTAAATAAATAGCAGCCATGTAGCAGACAACTTCTTTCAGGTATTTACAATATACTTAGTATCATGTCATGCGTTTAGGTATGCTTTTTTCCTTTGTCCTTTTCCAGAGGACAACTCAGGGATTTTAAAGCATCTCAAATAACCAGATGTTTAAAGGAAATCAGACGCTACACAGGTTAAATAACATGGTTCTATTAAAAACTATCTTTAACCATGGCACTCAATTACAGCAATACAATACTTTTTTCCACAAAGCAACTAATATAAAAATATGCCATAAAATCATCTGTAGACTACTATGCTAGTACATACATATAATCATAGCATTCTTTTATAAACTCTTTCCTGAGATACAAGAAAATCAAACAACCCAAGGTATTACTGGATACATTACCTTTATGATTCATCTAAAACAATTGTAAAATATTTTGCATGTGCAGGACACTCAGGAACGTGTAAAAAGTAGTATGTAAATATATGGCAAAGGAACAGCTCGTAGAAATTATCCTTTTTTTTTTTACTTTGTTATATTTTTTTTTAATGTTTGGCTCCTTGGGAGATGGAAGGGAGGAGCATGAAAAACCTGAAATTAGAGCTATGAATTGACAAAAAGCAGGAAAGCATTTCAGGAATGTTAGGAGTTGGAATATAAATGACACAAACAGAAAGCCATAATTCATGTTGGCTATGTATTGCTTTATAAAGCAACTGGACATATTTTAGTCAGTTCACAGTATAATAAATATTTTTACTAATCTGTTTTGGAAGAGGAAATGTCTTTTAGGGTTTCAAGCTCCTCTATAAGTTTCTTGTTCTGAACTTCTAGCACTGCAACACGCCTCTCCAGACATTTTATGTACTCTTTCTTCCGACGTCGACATTCTTTAGCAGCTTCCCTGCAAAAAGCAGAAGTAAAAAGTGCAAACAAAAAAGCCATTTGCATGCCATTAGAAAGCTCAGCAGAGTATGGAGACTATGACAGAATTCCAAATTTTGGAATACCTCCCAAATCAGTCTGAAAACACTAAGCAAAACTGGGTTCCACAAGGGCCTCAAGTGTCTCTTGCTCAAGTTCATATGGCAATCTGTAGAATTGTTTCCTCTCATGCCTTGATTAAAGTTCATAATAAACGAGGTCCAAATGAAAGACAGTTATTCTGCCTTATGACAATAAAGATCTTTGAGGGCCTTGAGTTCCTCAATGAGAGTCTTGTTTTGGTTTTCAAGTACAGCCACACGATTTTCAAGACATTTGACATATTCTTTCTTCTTTCTGCGACATTCTCTGGCAGCTTCCCTGGAACCAATACAAGGCAAATGACTACAGGAACAGCCACAATACAGCAAAGACTTGGATAAATGAAATTATCTGCAATCCCTGTGGTTCCACAATAACAACAACAACAACCACCACCAATTGTAGGATTGCACAACACAACAGCAAGTAACAGCCATAAGCAATAATATGGTTAAAATACAATTCAAAACAATGAGAACTTCAAACAAATTCAGTGTCAACAAACACAAGGATGGAATTAATACACAAAGGATCTGAGAAAAACAGTGAATAAATGATTACATATTGACTTGCACTAAACATTAAGACGAAAAGCAGCATTTTTCTTCTAGTCACATTCTATTTTGTGTGTTTATCAGGAGTGTTATCCTCTGCAATCAAAATCTTAAAATCAAACCCCAAAAATGTACTTTCAGAAAATACAAGCGTAACACTACTCAGATAAAAAGCTAGGTGCCAAGCTTACCACTTGCTCTATTTTTTTTTACCTTAACGTAACAATCTACAGTAAAATTTAAGTCCAAACAAATACAATTTATTAGCATTTTAGAACTGTCCAGCTAGGCACATTTCAGCCACATGTGCTTGCATTTTTTCTGTTGCTGGCAAATAGCAGTCAGGACCAATTCTCATAACTCTGCTCAGAATTCTGTTATACTGAAGCTAAACACATTTGGTAGTATTTTCAGAAGCATGTGACTGATCAAGCATCAAATTTCAGAAGAAATTTTAGAAGTACTGGAAATCCACTCCTATAACATCTTGGAACATGATAAATTGTCAAATTTTAACTTTCCAGCAACTTATATGAGAGTCAGCATAGACACTAATTATAAAACCGAAGAGAGGAGAAACAAAACAAGGCACAACAATGCAACGTAGCAATCCTCATAATTTAAAATAAAGGACAGGCATGAGAGCAAAGTAATATCATGAATTCAATCATAAGGCAAGTGGCTATTAAATATATTAGGAGATCTGCATAGCAGACTATTTCTTCCATTAATCTAGCTGCCATTGATAGCAGTGGCTATGCATTTAAAAAAGAAAGAGTCTTATAAGAACAGCAAGAAGAATGCACAGAGAAAGACTAGCATTTAGAGCACACAGTCAAGTCCATGCCAACTAATTAAAAAATATACAGCCACCTCACACAATATGCCTTACAAAATGACAGGGGCACTACACAATAACTTATCCCAGTAGCCAAGTATTTAGGAAAGTCTGTAATTATCATTCCATCCCAGAATAAGTGCTCTTCACAGCATCATTAATGGACAACTGCTAATGAGATCCTCAGATATGTTCCTAACCAATTCTTGGCTGGAATGTTTCAAAATGAACAAACCCATACTGGTCATTCTGCTGTCAATAAGCAGGGGGAGGAGGTGGGGATTTAAAAAAAAAAAAAAATCAACAGTAAGTATACCTCCAGTTGATCACAAAAACTATGGGAAAGGGACAATACTGATACTGATTTCTGAATTACCATAATATTTTAGATTTTAAAATCTATAGTGATAAAGGTCAACGCTAGCTTTCCAGAGTTAACAGCCAATACTCAATACCATAAGGATGTGGGATGACGGACAGAATTTCTTGCCTTCACTTCCGTCATCCACAGGCAGCGCTCATGACCTTAAGAAAACTTCATTAGAATATTTTTGGGGGTTTTTTTGGCAACACTACTAATTGTTACATAGCCTTACCTATTTTTCATCAGTCTCAGTTCTCTCTTGCGTGTTGCCTCTTCTGTCAATTGCTGAGGGCTATGCAAAGTCCCTGGTGAGGTTGCCATTACCACTCCCTGAGGTAAGGTAGTAGTGGGGGTTCGAATCTGGTAAGCTGGCATGTCTCCAGTGGCAGCTGTATAAAAGAATCATATTTTAAACTTTATGGCAAAAAAGAACTATGCAAAAGTCTCTCTGGAAAGAAGAGATTTCTGTTGATGAATTATCCAGGATCCCTGCTACATAACAACTATATTTGCTATCTTACTAGCGTTTATTTCCACACTGTAAAATAAATTATCTTAATTGCTCTAGCATGCAGGCCCACTAGCCAGCCAGACTGAAGCCTGTGAAAGCTTCCACATGGCTCTTTTCAGACAACATAGAAACAGCTGTTTGAGAAGCACCGTTCCAGCATCCACACTTATTTCCTGTTTACACAATCCCACAAAAAGAGGGTCCCGCTGTTGCAGACACTGAGGTTTGTATGCCACCCCTGTCTACTAACAGAGGATTCAGGAGTTAACTTGCTTCAGAAATCAACTTACTCCTCACTCCCTGTGATAGCAACAGTACCAGCCTTACTGCTTCTGCTCCCTTCACAGCAGCAGCTTGGCAATCCTTGGAAAACCAGTGAAGGCTGCTGTTGCCAAAATGAAAAGGAACAGACAAGTGCTCATGGTGAAGGAGAAGTATGTTCCTTGAGCAGGAGGACCACAAATAGTATGCTGCAGCAGTAGTAGGCAAGAGGAGGTAGTGGTGGTTGCACAGGAAGGGGTGTAGCTACACAGTAAATCAGAGTGCAAAAGTTCAGATTCAGCTCCTGAGCCCACCAGTTTTGAGCTCTCCACAAGTAAACGCAACTCTGAAATCTGACATGTTATTTGAAACCAATACCTTTCTGACAGTCTCACATCATTTCTGTATTTCTGAGGTACTTTGTTCCTGCCTGATATACCCAACTTTAAAACACTGTGAAAGTCATAATTGTGTTTTGTCTGACATATAAAATACTTCTGGAAAGGAGTAGGTAAATACTTGCTTATAATTTGGAGATACTTTTTTTTTGTTTGTTTGATTTTTCCATTATCATACAACAAAACCAGATTTTGTCATTAAAGCAATTGAATATAAAAGATTAAATTTCAGGGGCTGTTATGTTATACTTAATTTATACTTTAATTCTTTAAAGCAATACTGAAATAATGGAAAAACTTAACTTGTGTCATGGTTTAATCCCCACTGGCAACTAAGCACCACAAAGCTGCTCACTCACTCCCTCATCCCAGTGAGATGGGGAGAGAATTGGAAGGTTAGAAGTAAGAAAACTCATGGGCTGGGATGAAACAGTTTAATAACTGAAATAAGATAATAATAATAATTAATAATGGTAATGAAAAGGAAAATAACAAAAAGTTAAATAAACCCCAAGAAAAACAAGCGATGCCAATGAAAAACAACTGGTCAACACCAACCAACCAATGTCCAGCCTATTCATGAGTGGCCAGCTTTCCCCCTAGTTTATATGATGAGCATGATGCCGTATGGGATGGAATAACCCTTTGGTCAGTTGGGGTCAGCTGTCCCCTCCCAGGTTATTGTGCACCCCCAACCTCCTTACTGGCAGGGCAGCATGAGAAGCCAAAAAGCCCTTGACTTAAGAGTAAGCACTGCTTAGCAACAAAAACATGTGTTATCAATATTATTTCCATCCTAAATCCAAAACACTGTACTACACCGGCTACTAGGAAGAAATTAACCCCATCTCAGCAAAAACCAGGACAACCTGGAAAAAAAATTGTAGACAAAAACACTTTGGGTATGCTGACAGGTAGAGAGTAGTAAAAAGACACCAGTAAACTACAGGGGGAAAAAAAAACAAAACCTAAACTTAATTTTAAAAATACTACTGTTTCTATTCAGTTAATGCAGGTGCTTTACTAATTAAATACAAAAAACAGGATCAAGCTCTGTTTAGACTACATTTCCACAGCCATGTCCTGAAATCATTATGAGCTTAAACACTCTGCACCTCCCCCCTCTCTCGGTCCTGCGGGTAAAAGTGTTTGTGGAATTACAAGATGAACTGGACCAGTGAACTGACCTGGGATGGATAATCCCCTTGGGATGGGGGAGGGAGAGAGAAATCAGCCCAGGACAGCCCTGTGAGTACTAACAGGCAGCTGCCACAAACACAGGGTTTGGTTGTCTTGTACATCTACAAAAGAATTATTTAACCCTTTCTTTAGCCTCCACATCTCTTAGCAGTCCCAGTTATGTCAATGGGACAATACTTCAGTTCACTATAAAAACAGAATTTTAGAAACTCTTCAGGCTCACCTTTATGCTGGCCACATTGCACACATTTTATAGGTTCTATGGTAAGAAATACCTTTTTTCTATCTCTCATCACTAGGTAAAAAAAGAGATGTTATCTCAGTTTGCATGAGCTACAATGAATTAGAAATCCACCTGAAACATTTTGTAAATCAAGTCATGGGGAAAGACCCATAACCCAGGTCACTTCAGCCTGGCAAAACCAACTGCTTTGTCTTTGATTAACACTCAGATGTTACTAACAGGACTTACTGCTGCTGTTAAGAGGACTCAGTGTGATAATGTACCTGCAACATGGCTTAACAAAAGCAAGTTCCTATCTCAGCTGGGATCAGCAAACACCACTGTAAGTAACAACATGTTGCATGAAGAGTTTGACCAGGTTCCAGCAGTATGTCTGTCCCAGGCTAACAGTCGACTCCGTATAAACCTACCAGCATTGTAACAAAGATAACCCTTCTGGTGGTACAGACCTTTCAAACCCATCGCAGTTAAAAATAAAAACAAACAAACAAAAACCCCAAAACAAGTGTCTCGTAGTTGTGCAGTAACATGTGCTAAAATTTGTTATAATATCTCAAGAAGTTACAGTAAAATAGTTTTCCCAAAAAAAGACACTGAGAAAGATGAAACAGGCTTTAAGCAGGGGTGATAAAATACCCTTGAAAAAAAATGCATAGTTTAAGTCTAGTAATGTATCTACATATTACAAAGAAGGGTACCTTCCATTTTAGCAGCTGAGACAAAAATCCCACACACCTTGATCCAGACTGACAAGCTTCTGTGGCCATTTCTAATGAAATTCCACAGAGGTTTAAAGTAATTCCTAACGTATCAGAGGTAGGGCTGACACTATTAACAGAGACACAAACCTGGAGATGCTCTATTTCCCTAACACATTTCCCCAAGTAATTTTTTTTTTTTTGAAAGGGAGTAAGAAGTCACTGAAAACCTGAAGCTTTGAGTTGGGACTTAGAAAAAGCAAATTACCAGGAAGAGAAAGAAACACACAACAACAACAACAACAACAACAACAAAAACAAAACAACAACAACAACAAAACACATTTGAAAGAGTAGAGCTAACCTTGTAAATTAAGCTTGAAGAAAAAAAAAAAAAACACACCAAAAACCAAAACAACAAACAATCGCCTTGTATCAGCAGGTTTTTAGGCAAAGTAACTTGCTGAACACTAGAGAGCATCCCTGCACTTGAGTTCTTTCACTGACTATTCAGAAGAAAAAAAGCTTGATGCACTCACTCTATGTATTAGTAGGTCTGTTCTCCCCTTCTGAGTCATAATGATGGGACTAGATTATCAAAGGGTTTTTAACTTCACCACTAAACTGGCTAAACAAGGCATGAATCATTATTCCTTTGAGCATAAAAAAAATCCCGAAACACCGACTTTAAGAAGATACTTATCTTTAGATTAATGAAACTATATGTACCAGCAATGAGCAGCAGCACGTAGGTACCGGCTGCGAACTGGTTAACATTTACAGATCTGCCGGAGGCGATTGACGAAGCAGAAAGGAACTGACTAAATCGCAGCATGACTTGGAGCTGACGTATCTTGTTTGGAGTTTAACTTTTCCAGTTCCCTACTGCAACACGATTCCAGGAAATCTAATGACGTCAGCCCTTTGAACTCAATTAGCTGAGGAACAGACCATTTTAACAGTGGAGGAGAAAACAAGCAGACGTTACAATACTTAAAATTACTGCTTTTAAATTTGTTTGTGTTCGGTATTTTCTTTAATAATGAAAGCACTGGGTTTACTTACGCTACTGAAACAATGCACACGTTTCTCTTACAGCTATGCTTAAGCCTATTTTAGCTGTCAAATCTGAAGTGTTTATTGCTAAGCAAAATAGCAGTGTCATTTTTACAAAATAATAACCGATTAGAAGCATAGTAACATGTAATAACAATAAAGAAGAATGTAAAAGCAGCGAGGGGGATTTTGCAGCAAAATCCTGCATCAAATAGTAAAGATTAGTTATCTGAATCAGTCTGTGCAAGAACTCATGCACTAACAGTGATTTTTTTTCCCAAAAAATGAAACTGATAAAATTGCCCTGAAATCCTACACTGACTAGATGTAACTAGAAGCTGTATGTACCAGTTCTGAAAGATGAAAAAGTTACAGCAACAGGTTCAAAAAATGTCACAAATACCAACTAAGCACTGCTTAGACATGCAAAAATATGTAAAAGACTAAAAAAAATTTTACCTGTTTCATCTCCTGTTACAGCCATGATCAGCTTCTGCACACACGATTCTGCCGTTCCTCTACCAGAGCTCAGCATGAACTGTTCCAAACTAGCAAGCATGTGCAGGATTACATGCAAGAGCACTGACATCACAGTGACGTCACTTGCTTACCACTGTCATTAATATGCTCTGTCACTGGAACAGCTCACAAACTGCAGCCCAAAGAACTCTTTTTCCAGTAACCCTTTTTTTTTTTTTCCTTCCTCTTCCATATTTCTATAAGCCTAGCTTTGTTCTTTTCCCCTGACTTACTCATAAAGCTACAGAAAGCACTCACCACAAAGCTGGCTGTAAAGCAAGAGCCAAAAGTTCACAGCACTGACTGACAGAAGTTAAAATGTGGCTTCAGAATTCATGAGTGAATCCAAATGACAAAATAATGATCGAAAAATAGGAAAATTTTTAAAACATGTGCAATTGTTTTGATTGGAACAGTTTCACTAAAAGGCAGAGAACTCCAACAGACATGCAAGACAAGAAAGTTTAATAAAGCTGTAACAAATAGGTAAATAAAAAGCTAAAGCTCCTTTCTTAGGTGGGTGGGGGAAACCACAACCCACTCGATTTCCATTAAAAGCTCCAGAAAAGATTTAAGAAAGTTCCAAAGGAAACCAACCTAAAGTTATTTCAGATACTGTAACAGTCAGAACAGTAACTCTGGGTAAGGGCTACCTCTACCCCATTCCCTCCTTTTTCAAAGAAGTCCAAGAGATCTTATTGACTTAGTTTAAAAAAAAAACCAAACAAAAAATCTCTAACAGTTATTTACATCCTTATTTACATCAATTTAAATTAAATTAGTTTCAGACCAACAGTCCAAGCACTGGTCTGTATGTAGGGCATATATCAAACTTCTAAGGCCTTTGTCTGCAATAAACAAATTCAGACTGGTAATTCGTCAGCTGTTAAACTATGCCAAGGACAGCAATAATGGAAGCATCAATGCAAACAAGGAGCGCCCTGTGACTACAGGACCACTTCAGGATCATATGAACAAAAGATCAGAACCAAAACATGCAAGAAATTCAAGCCACAGATGTCAGGTATCTCAAGTTCATATCACTGACAGTATTATGAAAATACACATATATCCCAACAGAATTATTTTTGATACAACTTTTTTACACTTATTTCCACTTCCTTTTGCTTCAGCTAGCAAAAACCCCTTAACCTGTATTAGGAAAGTGTCAAGGCATCAGAATCATCCCTTATTTTGCCCATGAATGCAAACTTGTAGCAAATGAAATATCGCACAGCTGTATAAAAGTGCCAAAGATGTTGATCCTAATCCTTTTTCCCCCATCACAGGTTATCAGCAAATACCAAGCATAAAGTTTATATGACGCCATCCATTATTACATGAGATTAATCAACAAATACTTTAGAAAGAATATAAATATATATGCCATTTGCAAGCTTCTTAAATAGATCCTTTCTGCTCTAGGACTGATATTTGATACAATCCTCAAGTTCTGTGCTTTATCACAGAATGGGGAAGTTTTAGGAAACAACTGAGGAGCTACTCTCTGCCCCACTGCCATCTCTGCCCCCAAAGCTCTGAAAGAATCAATGCATTACATACAAAATACTACAGACAACTGGAGAGACAGACAAGTCCTCTAATTTAAGGGATGTGTACGCACATGTATAGAAAAGATACTAAACTCTGTACTCAGAAAACACGCACTACCAGAGTGGGAGACTTGTTTGGGGGACAGCCAAATTTGGGTCTTAAGGCTTTGCTAAGAACGTATTCATAACAATATTTAGGGAAGTAATCTATGCATGATCAAAACTAACATTTTGATTAAGAGTTTTTCATATTATAGCCTTAGAGCTTCCTTGAAATGCTTCTGAAAAGTCTTGGGAAGACAATGTATTTCATCAAAGAATTAACCAGAGGCACTGGAAGAATTAAAATTTGGTATCATTATTTACCATTGTCTCAACAAGTTCAGGTATCTACAGCTATTAGCTTTATTCACATCCTGGTCTTTCTTTACATCAAAGGGAGAAAAACAGCCACTTCAAGACAAAACTTACTCCAAACATCCATATTAGGGAAAAAAAAAATTAAACATCACCTCAACCTAGACTTCACCAACTACCTCAGCCATCTGTGTCTACATTTAATCAATAACATTTACCCATTCCATGAATACATATTTAAAGTTTTCCTAGCTCCTATCATGGTTCATTTCATAGAGCTGTTTTGACTTAAAGCATTCATACGGCCCTCCCTCCCTACTTCTCTGTACCAATTATAAAAAAATATTAGGGAAAATAAATTTCTTATATTGTCCACAACAGGCATTAATTTAGTGCCTCCATACCTTTTTTAGTGCCCCCATACCAACCTTTTCCTCACTTTCAAAGTCAAATCTCTCTCAAATCTGGACAAGAGAATTCAAAGCAGAAAGTGATTTTATACCTTTATTTCTTCCTCATAAGTTTTTAAATCAAAAGAAGTAGCTGCTTTACCAAGCAGAGAAACTAACTCCTCCTAAGACTTTCATCTTGTTATGCATAAATATTTTATTTATTAATGTGATAATGTCGATACAAAATAAAATTCCTTTTAAGAAAAAATGTTCTATATAAAAAACTAAGTGCAGTAGACTAATAAAATATACCTTGAACAACAACTTGGCTTCTGGGAACAAAAAATTGTTGTGTGCCATCAGATGATTGTCCTGCATATTGAACAATGGTAGCACCTGGGTGAGGAGCTCCTGAATTTGTCATTGTTACTGTCTGTAGTCCATGGACACCATCAGAGGCTGGATTAGAAATCTGGATTGTACCACCCTGAGTTATAGTAACTAAACACAAAAAGAAAAATAAAAGTTAGGCAATATAAAGAGATATAGCACATGTTAAAAAGCACATCTCCCTTTTTAAAAATAAAATATAGTAGCTCCTAGCCATAGAGAATCATTGTGATTTAAACACTAACGCAAAAAAGTTATTAAAAAAAAAAAAAAAAAGCACTGTGTTTTATCAACTCCCACAAAAAAAATCTAGGACATCTAGACAAAGGAAGAGTAATCCTCACAATCCTTTCCCTAGGGTGAGAGAGTCTAGCCCAAAAATGTTTTTGCAAATTGTACAAAGCTGTGAAGAGTCCAATACTTATGTAAAAAAAGAAACAAAAAGATTTTTTTCTCCCCACCATGTAATCAGCAATATGAAAAGCAAAAATATACTTTCCCCATTTGAAAAAAAAATCATATTGTGTTGCTCATCATAATTAAGTATTTAGACAAAAATCAAATTCCCTAGATACTCCTTTTGAATTTAGCATTGTCTTTGTTAAGAACAAAATTATCATAGAATGGTTTGGGTTGGAAGGGACCTTAAAGACCATCTAGTCCCACCCCCCCTGCCATGGGCAGGGACACCTTCCACTAGACCAGGTTGCTCAAAGCCCCGTCCAGCCTGGCCTTGAACACTGCCAGAGAGGGGGCAGCCACAACCTCTCTGGGCAACCTGTGCCAGTGCCTCACCACCCTCACAGTGAAGAATTTCTTCCTTACATCTAATCTACTCTTTCACTTTAAAGCTATTACTCCCTCCTCCTATCACTAAATGCCCTTGTAAAAAGTCCTCCAAATGGCAAAAGAACTTGTAATCTTTGTTTCCTCTGCATCATTTCAGACAGAACATCATGATATGCACAAGCAGGCAAAGGTGGGGGTGTGTCAATTCACACACTCCAACTGAACAAACAACTCTTGCACCACTGGACTACTATCACAGGTGAGACAAACCAATGCTTTTTCAGTATTTCATAACCAACATGATAGATCTATAGCCAGCAGAGTAGTTTTATAGTCAGATTAGGCTACAAGGCTCATATACAAGACACTGCTTAAGCAAAACTATCAATTCCCCTTACAGAAAGGCAACACGTGTTGATGGAGGTAACTGGGAAAGACATTTTATCTAGCTAGTCGTGCTTGTCAGTCTGCTTCCATAAGACAAAGCCAAGAAGCTCTGAGAAAAAAGTTATTTGGAAACCATGGCAACATACTGTTTCAGCTGGTAAAAAGTAAGCAAAGAACAGCCACTACTGCTGCTAATAGAAAAAATATATTTGTTTTTCCGAAAAATTTACTTATTTTTTCCAAAAACAGCCATCCCAAGACATCTAGACACCAACATATAGTCAAAATTTTCTTTTCAACTCAACTGTCTTTCCTATGCAGGAATAGAGAGAACTGTAAATAAAATCAGGAATCAACAAATGTAGTAACATATGGTATCTGTTTTAAACCAGGGGACAGTACAGATAGTTGTAGTGACACTGCATTACCAGTTCTTCATTGTCATAGACACTGTACAAGCTCAATACATAAACTGCTGGATGCCTGCACAAAAGAAGCCACTCAACCAATGCCGGCCAAGAAGAGTACAATAATGGAAAGACAGGAATACAATAATGATAAGCAGAAGAGCTATTGACAGGAGACAAAGATAGAACACAGACAGGTAGTGACCTTTTGCACCATATCCAGACTGAAATTAACACAAGAGATGCTGCATTCCCACACAGTGTTCCCACTTTTAGCTAACAGCAGTTCCTGAGGATTGCAGGCAGTTGCTCAGAAATGCTGCAGACCTGTGCCTTCCACATGCAGGACTAAAAGTTAACAGTCAAGCCTTCTTCAAGCAAATTCCAAATTAAGACCCCCTCTACTACGAGGGGATGACAATCCTTGCTATCACTCAGTAGCAATTTTTCCTAACCAGAACTAGAGAGGACACACAGACTTCACAGAAGCAAAAGATGTGCGATATTTTAATTTACAAAGCTGAACTTAAAAAAATCTGACCACCAACAAATTAAGGAACTAATGAATTAGGTAAGAAAAATTATTGCCAGAAAAATCTCTCAAAGTTTTTGAGCTGGAATCAGTAGAGTCCATCAAGGCTGACACTGCATCCTGAGGCAAAGAAAGAGCAGCATAAAACAGAAATCATCTATGCTTGGCTCATGAGAAAGCCAAGGCTAAATTAAGATTTAATTTTTGTGGACTCTTAATTCAAGCATGTTGTTGGTGATGCTCTCTGTTGCTTGATTTTTCAGAAGTAAATGTTTAACTGAATGAGAAAGAAAAAACTGTGAATTTCATTATTCTTTTATATACTTCCCTGTTGGAGAACGGCTTGCAGAGAGCAAGGCCATGGCTCCCTGCAGGAGCTGGTCGGCCATAGCTCCCTGCAGAAGTCGGTCCCAGCCACCTGAGGTAAACAAAGGAAAGAACCCAGGGTACAGTTATGTAAACAAGGATGAAGATCCAGGGCTCAGTTGTGCTAGAGAGGATTGTTGTGAGAACACAGAGATAAGTTGGGGGCGCATTACGACCTTGGGGGGTGAAGGGAAGCAGCCCTGGGAAAGAAGCAGGTTCACAGAAAGAAAGATGTTTATGCATTCCAGAGATGCCATGAGGGGCTGGGGTATTATAATGTGACCTTTTAAATGTACCCAATGGCTGAGATATTATGTTTCTTAAATGTATCCAATAGAGTTACAAGTAGTGTATTGCAGACTGCTTATATAAGGTGTGATTTCTATCAATAAAGTTGAAGCTTGCTCTATCATTCACATTGAATCGGCTGCTTGCTTCCTCCGCCCGCCGCACTTCCCTGTCACTATGATCTATAGCTATGTTCAAATTAAAAGATCCTCAAGTAAGAATCACCTCCTGAAACACACCACTAGTAAAAGTACAACTCTGGTTTCCTAGTGGAATCTACAGTTAAGAAACTCCTGATTACTTAGAAATCTTAAAGGTTTGAAGGCTCACTGCAACATAGTACAAGCACTATTAACACTTCTTTTTAAGCCTTGAAACTGCAGATTTTTTTTTTTAACTAAACCTAAATCAGAACAAAACTATAATTAAAAATTGAAGAAATTTAATTTGGTCAAGAATATCTGTCACATTCTATACCAGATAACTGTAATTTAGTATGACCATAAGACCACAGAAGAAAGCACTTCAGATGGCGGGCATCATGAAGCAGACATTTATGTCTACCTTATAGAAAGGGTAAAAGCAGCACCTTAGGAGTCCAAGCAAAATTACTTTCTATGCTGAAAGGGTAGATAATACTACAGACAAATTCTGCTTTCTCATGGTTAATAATTACTTTAGTTGCATAAATTAAATGTAACTAAAGAATTCTAAGGGTGGCTAGAATACAACTAGAGCATCATTCTATCCTCTTATATGCCATTGCAATGTTTTCATAGACTTCCTCTGTTCTCTTGTTTCAGGAAAAAAAAAACCCACAACATTTCTTTTGCAGTTTTCCTGTCATTATATCAAAGAAAAAATACCTGCATTTCAGTGTGTCAACACATGAAAAGACATGAAAAAAAAATAACTGCAGGAGTGAAGCTTTATCCAATACATAATTGAAAAAAAATAGTTATTAAAAAGTTATCCCTTACATGATTATGATTAAGCCCAAAGAATTGCCAAAGAATGACAACATTTTTAATAGAAATGTAGGAATAAAAAAAAAAACAAACAATCAAAACTATAGAACAGAACTATGATTTTAACTTTCAACTTGCATTTGGATGAAGCACCAAATGCTGAAGACCACGACTTAGGTTAATTTTGCAGTTAGTGTTCATACTTGACAATTGGAGAGGAAGAGACACAGTTCTTTTAGAAAGAAAATTCAAAGTTAAAATAATTTGATACTCTAACCGTACACTTTAAAAAAAGTCTAACTCACTGGCATTTCATGTAATGAATAGCACTAACGCATGGAAAAGCACAGTAATTTCAAACAGCGATAATTCATAACACTAAACATTCACATTGAAGTCTCAACATTTTTCACCTGAGCCTCACCTCCACATTTTTAAGGCACTGGAGTTCTAGGAGGACTAAATCTAGCAACCAACAGACATTACAAGAAACAGCCTAGAAGTCTATAATGACCACGTTGGGAAAAATTAAATATAAAAATTGTGATTATTTAGAAATACAGCAGCTCTCATTCTTCACCAAAATCTGACATCTCTACTTTGTTATGGAACTCTCAGAAACAAAGTTGTTCCTACATATGTTCTGCAACACTACATAGTATCTTTGCAAACATACAGTATTGCCCTGTGTTAGTATGATAGAGGCTGGTTGGCATGGGCATTGCAGAAATTCCCAAAGGCACTCCTTCATCTTCCGACTTTTCTTCTTCTTCAATCTTTGGTACTGCAGCAGCATCTGATGAGAGTTCATTCAAAATTTTTCTAAAAGAGAATGTAAATAATTTTATATATTTGAAATCCCATATCCATGAGAAAATTATGTCACTGGCTTTTATCAGACAGATTTGCTGTAGCATATAAGCTGCCTTTAAAAACCAGCAAAACCAAAAAGAAAAGTCCTTACCGGTATGAAGGCCTTCTTGAAAGTATTTCCCTACGTTTCTGAGAATCAGTTATCCCTTCTGATTCTGCAGATTCATCTGCAATCGATGCTACCTGTAATAGCAAAGTTTCTAAAATTCATAACTTCATTTAAAAAAAAAAAAAAGATCGCAGCAGAGTAAGGCTATTGTTAAAAATTCCTTCCATGTTTGCACACAGGAAATTTGTGCACTTATTTATCACTAATCATGTGATCCTGGACTTCTTTTTCTAAAGCAAATCACACATTACGAGGTTAGCAACACATAGCCACTTTTGATGACATCTTCCATTTGAAAAAGAAAAAAAATCAAAATAATCCAGATTACTTTTTTTGTGAATGACACTTAGGAAAAGTCCTGAATACATGATTTCTTTAAACATAGAAGTTGATTTCTTTAAACATAGAAGTATCACACAATTTAATTAGCTTTTAAAGTAAAATTAAACATTTAAAATACAGAATAGTGCACTGATGCACCTTAAATAACAGTGTACAATATAAAAGCCTCTTCAAAACCACACCAAAGCTATTTAGAAAATAAGTTTATTTAAATATACACATTTATTACACTTACTAACACATATTCATAAATACAAATACATTGCTTAGCAATACTGTATGAGTTTAGAAAGCCCTGATAAGTCCACAATATCTCATTTTCTCAAACCTTTAGTAGTAGTATTTTCACAGGTTCTTTTTCTCTTAAAATTACCCAAGACAACATTAAGGCCTGGAGCTTAATCACACTCTTTACCAGCAACTATCATCTTATACAGAACTACTGGTGTGTAAGATTTCCAAACTGAAACCGTGCAGTGATGGTGGTGTGGAAAACTACTTTCTCGCATAAAGACAGTCTGAAACTGCAGTTGGGTCTAAGTGCTGCATAAGCTAACACTGAACAAACATGAGTTAAGTGACTAGAAGGCTCAAGTATTCGACCTGGGTGCAG